GAAAAAAAAAAAAAAGAGCAGAGGTGGAAGCAAGTGACATTGAGCCAGGAGGGAGAGGAAGTGGCGGCGAGTAGATGACGGCAATAATGAGGGGTGTCTACGTGTGTGTAGATGTACCACTTTGACTGAAATGAGACGAGAACTTGGCGGACTTTAAACATGGCTGGATGGAACAACAAAATGAGAATTGCACCCTTGTATGGAGGAGAAGCTGCTGTCCCTGGAAACTGCTGCTGGGGAGACCAGAGTCCTCAGGAGAAAGCCAGATTTGAATTAAAGAAAGTAGGTGAAGGAGAAGATAACACAGGGGATTTTTTTTTTTCCTGGCAGCAGACCATGCATTCTAAGTAAATAGTCAAAGATTTTCAGGATAGGGAAGGGATGGGAGGTAGAAAGCAACAAGAGGAACAAGTTTTGAGAGATTTTGTGAAAGAGTCAAAGCACTTGGTGGTGGATGTTGGGGGGAGGGTGTGAGCATGGACACATATTTACATAAGTGCATACACTGAGTACAAATGTCTATTTCTAACATATTGTTTATGTGGTTTTTTTTTTTTGAGTTGGAATCTCACTCTGTCGCCTAGACTGGAGTGCAGTGGCCGCTCCCGGCCACCGCAGCCTCGACCTGCTGAGCTCCAGCGATCCTTCCGCCTCAGCCTTCCAAGTAGCCGGAATTACAGGCATGTGCTACCATGCCCGGCTGATTTTTTGGTTTATTGTAGAGATGAGGACTCACCGCCCAGGTGGGTCTCGAACCTGCGGGCTCAGGCAATCCACTCACCTCAGCCTCCCAAAGGTGCGGGATTACAGGCTGAGCCACCGAGCCCGGCTGTTTATGTGGTTTTAAATTGAATTGCTTTACTCTGTTCTATCTTTTTTTTTGTGAAATTAAGTCTTTAATATAATAGCTCTCTGACATTATCTATGCTTTTCTTAACAAACTACCTTCTTTTTCTGACTTTCTATTTTTCACAGATGCATTTACCCTTTGTCCCAACAATCTCACTTCTGAGAATCTCTCCTATGGGCATATCTGCACATATATTAAGTAACGTACAAAGTTACATTTTGTGATGTTATTGGTTGTTGTTTTTGTTTTTTTTTTGAGTTGGAGTCTCACTCTGTTGCCCAGACTGGAGTTCAGTGGCCTCTCCCGGCCTCTGCAGCCTCGACCTGCTTGGCTCCGGCGATGCTTCCGCCTCAGCCTTCCAAGTAGCTGGGACTACAGGCACACGCTGCCACGCCCAGCTAATTTTTGATTTACTGTAGAGATGAGGTCTCGCCAAGTTGCCCAGGTGGGTGACGTTATTGTAATAACCAAAGACTGGAAACAGTTCTGTTGCCTAGCAGTGAGGGATTGGTTGGATAGCCTTGCATATGTTCACTAAAGGACTGTAAACTCAAGCCCTTCGGTATGGGTTGTTAAATGGAAGAAGTAAGACACAAAGCAGAGAGTACAGAAAGCTGCTTTTTGTGTAAGAGAATGAGAACTAATAACTATATGTATACACATACATTCATAGTTATACTAATAACTATATGTATACACACACACATACACATACATGTATTTTCTTACATTTGCATAAGCAGGCAAGAAAAAGAAAGATATTGATAAAAATTACACACAGAAAGGGAGCGGGAATGGGACGGAATGGACAAAGATGGAATTGGAGTGAGACTGCCCCATGCATACCTTTTGTATAGCTCTATTTGTTTTTTGACCATTCACGTGTACTGCCTTTTCAAAAATAACGATATACTTTAAAGATACTTCCATTACCTCAATCAGCACCCCAAAACCTCAGTTGTTTTATACTCTCTCCTCTCCCTAGTCCATCCCATTCTTCTCTTGATCTGTGTGTTGCCTCTTATCCCCCTGATTTATGACCTTTCTCACTGCCTTTAAGAGTATAGTTTGACTCTTGCCTGCATGAGCGCTTTGGGAGGCTGAGGCAGGAGGATTGCTTGAGCCCAGGAGTTGGAGATCTTCCTGGGCAACACGGTGAGACCTGTCTCTACAAAAAGTGAAAAAAAAATTAGCTGGGCATAATTATAAGCACCTGTAATATCAGCTACTTGGGAGGCAAGGGTGGGAGGATCACTTGAGCCTAGGAATTTGAGGCTGTGGTGAGCTGTGAACATACCAACGCACTCCAGCCTCTGACTCAAACAAACAAAAAAAAGTAGATTCCATAATTTCTCCCACATACTCAAAAACTGCTCACCTTCAGTGCCTTGCCACCTGATTTCTGCTTCCTTCTACTTCCTGAGATCACCAAATCAAGGGTTTAGTTCCTTAGTCTTTACTCATTCTGACTTGTCTATAGCAATGCATCCACATAACTCTCTCCTGCCCTGACCTGTGTGACATTATCCTCTTAGCAGAAACAAGGACTCTCTGGTGATTCTTCTGTTTCTTCTTCTGGCTTCTCTTTTTCTAGCACTTTCTGCAAATGGGCATTTTCTGAGCTGCTGTGCTTGGCTACCTTTTATTCTCTCTTGGTATTCTCTGGCTGTCAAGTTCCTAATTTCAAAAGGTAAGTAAATTTTTATGTTTCTTTTGGAAACATAAAAGGTATGATTATAAAGTATTATACTATTATAAAGTATGATTTTTTTCTTTGCTAGCTGTTTCATCTAATTTTTATATATTTAATCATTTTGATAGCAATAGCTATCAGATTTCTTCTGTTTAAAAACCTTCACTGTCTCTTCATTACCTGCCAAATAAAGTACGGGCTTGTAAGCCTGACCTCAAATCCTTCCAAGATGATCAACCTACTTTGAAAGTATTTTATCCTATTCACTCCACTACTTCTGCCTATGTTCCTGCCAGCAGGATAGCAGCCAATTCTCTCTGCCTCTCTGCATCCCATTTCTCTGTCTCTCCTCCTTACACTGCCCTTCTTGACTTTAACCATTCTGCTTCAATTTCTTCTCCACCTGCCAACACACTGCCCATGGCAACTAACTAGTCCGACAAGTATGACTACCCTGTCAGTGGACTGGCTAGACCCATGTGTCCCTCCCTCATAGTTCCCCTCCATGCTGTTGGCACAATCGCCCCTGAGCCTCCCTTCTTCTCTCGGCCACACAGGGGAACGTGTTCTGAGAACGAGAAGTGCATCCTTTTGATGTACTCACTGAGAAAGCGAGTAGGATGCCTGTTGTTGTGGCTACTTGGTAACTATTGGAAGAGAGCGCAGGTGGGGATCAAAGTGACATTAGGCATTTTTCATCATTATTAAAATTCTCCATTTTATAACTGGGTGATTATTCTTCATGCAACGCTGACCTCACATTTTACAGAAATCCTTTCTTTTTCTTCATTTTGAAATGTAGGTATTTGAGATCCTCTTTTAGCTCCTTAATTTAAAGATGACTGTGATTTTACCATTACTAGCAAAGTAAGAGTGTACTGAAATCAATGAACACCTCCATTTGGTAAGTATCTTATGGGTGCTCAACCTCGTGCCAGAGGTATGCTTCCTAGGGGAAAACAAGAGTGCTTAAGGTACCCAGAATGGTCTTTCTCCGTGATCTCTCTCCCGATCCAGGAATATCAGCTGCCTGTTGAACATTTTGCTGAGATAACCAGTGGGTACTTTCAGCTCAGCGTGTGTAAAATAAATCTTACTTCTTTTCTTGCAAACCAGCTCCTCTTACTTCTGTTTCCAATTCAGTGGCTCAGGGCAGAAATCTGGAAGGTACCCTCAACTCTTTCCTCTCCTTTGCCCTGGTCCAGACTCAGACGCCAACTCCTGTTGACTCCGCCACCTGCACATTTCTCAACTTTATGTCTTCTTTTATCTCTCGGTTGCCATTTTCTTTATTCAAGTATGTATCCTCTTTTATTTGCCCCATGTCATCAATTCTCTAATAGGGCTTCTAGCCTCAGGAGTCTCCCTCTTCTATCTGAAACAGACCTGATCGTGCCATGTCCACCCACACACTCAGTGTACTTCAGTGGCTCCCTATCAAAATGTAGCACCCGAAGGCCTATCAAGCCCCTTCGGCATCACTGCAGCCCAGCATTCCTGTCCTTCCGCCCTGTCCCCACTGACCCCATGCTCCAGATGGACCAGCTTGGCAGCTTCTTTGCATCTCTGGGTTAAGTCTTGCTTCTGTAACTCCTCCTTGCCTCTTTGCAGAGGCTCTTTTGCCTCTCTGCAGTGCCTGGCCTCAACCTCCTCCCCTTTCTTGCTTTTCACAGAGCTGACCCATCTGCTTAAGACCAGGGATGTCTGGTTCTAAATTGGGCTCATTTTCCACTATATCAGATCTAAGCCTTTGGTACAGAATTTCACATACCATGCAACTGCCTCAACTCCCTTTGTGCAACAAGGGAGCATATAGAAATAAGAAAACGTCTGTTCATGTATCTACAATATGTGTGAAAATTACACCTTCTTGAATGGCATTTCCATCACACCACAAATTCTAGATGTTAGTCTGCTTATTCTAAAAAGATAGTCACTGACTACAGGTATGAAGCGCCTTTGAGAGGCTGAGGTTAGTGGATTGCCTGAGCCCGCGGGTTCGAGACTCGCCTGGGCAACTTGGCGAGACCTCATCTCTACAATAAATCAAAAATTAGCCAGGTGTAGTAGTGCGCGCCTGTAGTTCCAGCTATTTGGAAGGCTGAGGTGGAAGGATTGCCGGAGCCCAGCAGGTTGAGGCTGCGGTGGCCGGGAGCCACTGCATTCCAGTCTGGGTGACAGAGTGAGACTCCAACTCAAAAAAAAAAGAAAAAGTAGAAATAAAGAGATGACTCTCTAAGCCTATTCATGATTTTTAGCCTATAGTGATATTTTCAGCAGATTTATTTAAAAACAAAACAATGAGCTGACTTCCCTACAGAGTTATTGTTTTGATGCTTCATCTCTCCAGAATTTCAGATTATTTAATGTGTTAGTATTATTGACAAAGGATCCTAGCAATCAGTGAGCCTGCACTATTCACTGAGAAAATATATTTTAAAGGGATTTTGTAAGTAAAAGAATAGCAGATTTTTTTTTTTTTTTGAGTTGGAGTCTCACTCTGTCACCCAGACTGGAGTGCTGTGGCTGCTCCTGGCCACCGCAGCTTTGACCTGCTGGACTCCAACGATCCTTTCGTCTCAGTCTTCCAAGTAGCTGGAACTACAAGGGCACGCTACCACGCCCAGCTAATTTTTGATTTATTGTAGAGATAAGGTCTTGCCAAGTTGCCCAGATGGGTCTCGAACCCGCAGGCTCAGGCAATCCACTCACCTCAGCCTCCCAAAGTGCTAGGATTATAGGCTGAGCCACAAGAACAGTAGATTTACAAATACAAAACCTGGTTCTCATCCTAGCTGTGCTGCAATTGCTTTTGCTAAGTCATGTCACTCTTCTGAGCTGTAGTTTCATCATTTGTAAAATGAGGGGAGTTTATTTAGTTTATTTTTAAAGCTCCTTCCAGCTCTGAAATTTCAAGACTTTATGTATAAACATGAAGTAGGAGAACAATTCCTGAGAGAGATAGAACATTCTAGTTATTTCTGAAATCTGTGTAGAAGGCGATTACCTTGTCAATATTCAAAGGAAGTACATATCTCCTAACTTCAGGTTGGGGAGCCTTTCGGGCATTTTTTTTCACCTCTTCCCAGTTCTCACGTAAATTGGCTAAATATAAGTAGTTATAAACAAATTCAAATCTGTAGGAATAAAAAGTCACACATGAGCACAGGCAATTACAAATAATTTTAGAGAGTTGGCTCATGCTTCTTCAAAGCACAGGTGCCTGCCTGTTCCTTTTTCCACACCTAGGAACTGCTGATGACCCAGGTTCTAATTTAGAGCCACTTTTTCCTGCCCATCCTGGGGGAATAAAAGTAGAAACCCGCCTCCTGGGTTTGTTTAAATAACCGCAGCCTTAATATACTCTCTGTTCTGCTCTGTCACCGTTCTGTTGGTGTCTTTAAGGGATATTGCTTTCTGCTGACGTGGCTAGTCACTCAAGGCCCACCCCAGTGATTTTGCCAAGTTTAAGTTCACTTTTCAGGTTGCAGACACTTTTATTTTCAACTGGAGTTCATGGACCTGATTGTTTTTTTCAACCATTCACTGTGGTTTTGAGGCTCAGACTGCCTAAACTCCCTGCTGCCTTACACTTACACTTTGGGACCCGGACCTAGCCCTTGCTTTTTTAGATTCAGGTTAAATCTTCAGAGCGGCGTCTCTAGAAAGGCTCCTAATTTCCAGGAGCAACAGGAGGCGTGACATTTCCCTGATGTCCTTCCTTACCCCTTCCAGCAGCAGAGATCTACAATCAGGAAGCCGTTGTCTTCATAGGTGTTGATGTGATGGAAGAGATTGAAAGGAGAAGTCCTGTATTTATTATTGAGGTACTTTCTCCTTTTTTTGTCAGCAATGTGAAGCCAAACCTTGAGAAGAGAGGAAAATATTTTGATGCTTTTAAGAAGGAAAAAAGTATGCACCGTAAAACACACTTTCAGAATCACAAACTTGGCAAACAAATCTAAGACTTACCCCCATGGTTTCATTGGACTCAAAACAATCCATGTAGTTGGCTCCCCAAAGACTCCATGAAGAAAGAAACTTGAACAGATTAATTTTAACTGGTGTCTCCACAAAAACGATGTAGTTGGGAGTCAGACCAAAACTGTTCAAAAACACAAACACGCTTGTGAATTGAAAGCGCCGGATCTCATGCCACAAAGAGACACACACGAAGTATGCTCAGTTACACGAATCAACAGTACCTACGTGAGATTAATTATGTTTACACTTAGTTTTCTGCAAAAGAAGTTGTGATCGGGTTTGGATCAAAGGTAGGCAAAGCAAATCTTTAAACGTGAGTTTTCCTGAAGATTCATAGTGGGCCTTCAAGTTACCTATGGACGTAAGATGGCTTGAATCGGTCACTGCAGGGGAATTGTACAACGACCTCTGACTTGCTTATTGGGTCTTCCTTGTCTGAAATAAAGTGGTTTTAGAAGGCTTTGGAACAGCCTCTTCTTTTATTTTAAATACAGAGCATTCAAAACAGCTTATATAAGCAAAGAAAAAAAAAGTACATATTTCAGATCTCGAGTTTTTTCAGAGCTTATTTTTATTTTCTCAGTCATTGACATTTCTTAGTGAAATTTCATGTGAAGCTGCAACCACCCAGGAAAATCCAAATAGCAGCAGGTTTGGAAAAGGGCACTCAAACAGACTTGTGGCAGGCAGAGTAGAATGGTCACGTCTTACAACAGCGGAAGGTGGGCTTTCAGTCAGGAGAGCAGGACAAAACCTTAGTATGGTCAAAATGCCTTTTGCAATATGTGAGATGCCTAAGAAATATAGGATAAGTGGGTTTGTGCCAATCACCACGTTTAGTAATTCTTCTGCACATTGCATTGTATTTACTAAGCCAATGGTTCTGAAAACCCTAATGTGCATCTGAATCACATAAAAGGTTTCTTAAAACACTGATGGCAGGCTCCACTCCCAGAATTTCTCTTGTGGTCTGCCTGGGGTGGGGCTCACGACTTGTTATTTCTAACAGTTTTCCAGGTGATGTTGTTTGTTCAGGAACTACGCCTTGAGAATGACACTAAGCAAAAATCCATATAAATTCAAATAGTTCTGTCATCGAGGCAGTTAACGCTGAATACGGCGATGAATGGAGAATGAATGGAGGATTCCAGCGTACTCTCCCCCTGCTTTCTTTCCCCATATTATTACCAAGAGTTAATGGATCTGTCTGTAGTTTGGGGAATTAAACACGAAATACTTCACACACTCTCATATATGCACATATGCCATTATGTATTACGTGTTTATTTCATTTAATTTTGCCTGGCACATGAATAAGTGCCCAAAACTGTCTGCTGGATTTGCACATAAATTCTATAGGAACAAATCCACATAGGTGCTACATTGTGAAACACAGTGGGATAGAACTTGACCACTTGCTTTCCACATGTTCAAGTCATCATCTCTTGCTGTGGTGCCTGCCCGTGGGCATGAGTCCCCTGGGAGGGGTGAAGGAATTGCTTTCAAGTCTGAGAGCGACTTAATTCTCATATATGCTGTCCTGCTACTCTGACTTAGCATCCTGTATTTTCAGTAACTTTCTCAGACTATTTCAGAAGAGGAAAGCTTGGTAAACTCACCTGCTTGCAGTGGAGGGATCTTTACAATATTGTAGGCAATTGAGAAGTTTTTTCCAAAGCAATTACCAATGTTGTAAACGGTTCCATCGCTTTCAATGTGGGGGTGAGCCGTGGCTCCGTTGACCGAGACATAGTTGCAAAGGTCAACCTGTGGCGGGAAAGTCATGGGAGAAAGGAGATGACGGTACGCATGTGCCCCCAGGTCTGACCCCACCACCATCCCTGGCACGCTCTCCCCGAGTGAACTTTCCCTCTCTTCTCATCCCTCTGGAGACTACCCTTGCTCCCCTGTGGTTCCCACCTGTGGCGCAGAACTCTCCTCTGACCCCCCCGGTGACGGTGACTCCTCACACGTCTGAAATCAGGGGTTCTCTGTGACTGTGAACTCCATGCCTACAGTGCCCCTGTTACTTTTCTTTTTGCACTTGCAGGCTGACCTCAGACTGATAAGTTTCATTCCTGGGACTTCTTTGCCCTTCTTGTGTTCGACTGAATTGTATAAGGCTGCTGGAATTCAATCGTTTCTGATTTACAAAAATGGCAGTTTTGTATGGTACCATACCCAATGTCTTGCACATGGTACTGTATGAGGAGTTGAAAGGCCCTTCAGGATTTTTCTAGTAGAAAAAGACTGAGCATATATAGACATCAGAGGAACCACACATCTCTTGGCATTACATGCAAACATTCTTGGGGAAAAGATTTAGAACTCTAATTCAATTAGGAGTCCATAAGAAATTCAGATCCACAAATTAGCATGAACTTCTCGGTTTGCAGAAGAAGAAGATCAAGGGTCCTGTTCAAGAATACAGAGGCACAGGTGGGCAAACTAACCCTGTATTTCTACCTGAAACCTGCCCAATAAAGATTTATTGAGTAAAATATTAATGAAGTATATATTTATCTAACCTGATTTTTAAAATTTAATTAGAAGAATATTTTTAGCTTGTTTTTAGCACCCTTATGTAAACAATAGACAAGACATGCATTTATCCACTCAATCATTTATCAAGCACTCTTTAAGCTTCTAGTAAGTACTAGGCACCGTGCCAGGGTTTAGGAAAAGAGAAGCTCCTTATTTTTAAGAACTTTGGTCTAGACGTACACTGTTCAATCTGGGAGCCACTAATTTTTAGCTCAGACTTCAAGCCTCAGTTCCTGTCACATTAGCCACATTTCAAGTGCCTTATAAGACCAGAACAATGAAGATACAGAATGTCCCCATCATTGCAGAAAGTTCTACTGAACACCACTGCCTTAGAGCGCCAAGCTGGCATAAAGTATAATGAGCACACAAAAGTATCTGTAGAGAAAGGCCACCTAGGACTGGGGAATCAGTCAGGCCTCCTGAGGGCAAGGACTCCTATTCATGCTGGAAAGGTGGGTAGGAATAGCCGGGTGGAGTAGGATGACAACATGGTCCGGGGAGCAGGATTGCTCTTTGGGGATTACTAGCGATTCAGCAGGCCCGCCATGAAGGGCATTCAGGAAGGAAGCGGGGTAAGAGGCAGTCCATCACAAAGGCCCATGTTTGAACCTTATTTTGGAAGTTATGAGTTCGCTAGATGGAGTCACATGCTTCTATATGTATTTTAGAAAGATGGCTTCCACATTATGGATATTGTACTTAAGGGAATGAGGCTGGGGTCAAAGGTACTGGTGGAAAGGCTATTTCAGTAATACCAAACACAAAATCTCAAATTTTTAAAACTGCATTTTCGTATGAAGTCAGGGAACAGTGCTACTCATAATGGCACCTAAGCCCTAATGAGGTCTATTCAGGATCCCTACCATAGCTTCTCTGTTTCCAATCAAAGTACCATGTGAGTGCAATACAGATTCACTGTCAAAGTCAAGTGGATGATTTGGAAACTCAACTTCAGTTCTTCTCTAAGTGATTTATACACACATACACGTACAGGGTCAAGCACAAACATCAAAGTCGAGAAAGGGCTATGGAAAGTCTACATTAAGACTCAGTAAATAGTCTGTTGAGAATCATAGATCAGCTTGTGACGTTGAGGACTGGTTTTTCTATTTCTGCTATGACTGTATTTATGGTTCTGGTCTTGAATTCCACCTCATGGTCCCCTAGCTATACCATATCTCTTTTGTCCTTCGATGCAGCTCACACGTGGCTTCTCAATTAAACATCCTAAAGCACCTGTTTGCTTATAACAGTTCTTAAGCAAAACCTTCCAGTAGCTTCCCATGAGCTAGGCCACTCATTCCAAATGTTTATCTCATTATTTAGGCTTCTGATTTCACCATACCCTGTGTCCTACTATTATTCCCCTTGACATTGTACACTCTAGATGACTAGTTCTCAACTGGGAGTGTTTTTGCTCTCCAGGAGGAGATTTCAAAATGCCATGGGCATTCTGGGTTTGTGCAGTGACTGAAACATGACTGGGCTTTGAGGATGAGGCCTGGAATGCCAAACTTCTGCCATGTGTGGGGCAGTCTTCACAATGATGATTCCCCTCTTGCCCAATGCCACTCACACCTCCATTGAGAAATACTGCAAGACTAGCCAAAAGGGGTTATTCTCTAGTTTCCATCAAGATATCCTCTTTTCTCATCTCTGTGCCTTTGATCATTTTATCCTCCCATCTATAATGTCCTTTTTTCCAAATTCAAAGTGGTACCTTTCCAGTAACTTCCCACTAAAACACAAACCCTTTAAACCTCCCTTGGGCCACCCCACCTTGCATCCCCCAATACCGCCAGGAGTCATGTCTTTCTTATTTGTGCTTTCTTATTTGTGTTTTATTTATCTTAAAGAATGCATCACATGTTGTGTCCCATTCTACTGATGTACTTGTTTGATTTCCTCATCTAGATATTAAACTTCCTAGACTCACAAATAGGTATGTCTTAATAAATATGGATCTATCCTAAGAAATGATGCATTAAGACAGCTTACATTTTCCATAAAATTTGTCATTTTAAAATATTACTGATGTGTTCTATTTTATTTAAGATATAGCTTTATTTCTAATAAGAAGTGTCTATTACAAGGGACAAATTAGGGCACCACATTTGCCTAAAACCATGACTAGCATGGTTTTCAACATCAGCAGGTATGATTTTTTGAGCACCGAGTATTTACCAGGCCAATAGCAGCCTATAAAAACCATGAAAGGCAGGGGCATGTTGTCTTACTCACTGATCTAGCCCCTGCATCTAGCATAAGTTCTGGTACATGAAAATAATAAATATTTGTGTCATGAATGAAAAAATGAATGAATATACTATGCACCTTCTATGGTTTTCCTCCAATTCATGTACGTGTTTAAAATTTCATGGTTAAAGAAATAAAGTTTTCTTTACGCCACGTAGTTGGTGACATAGCTGGGATTTGAAACTTCATCTGACTCTCTTGTTCTTTCCACAAATTTGCACAGTTAATTTGATTCCAAGTTCCAAATTTCTGAGCAACATCACCTACGCACTAAGTCTCACCTGCTTAATTGTCTCCAAGGTCTCTGGATTAATCTTTGTAATGTAGTTGGTCTCTGTGCAGGCGTAGTAATCTTCCCCCACTGGGTAGATATTAACAAGGGCATTGTCGGTAATCTCCACTCCTCGAAAGTAAGAAAAAAACCTGCAGAAGCAAATGAATGTCTTAGTCCAGTAACTTTCGGGCCATGAGAAAAAAGGGGCTAATATAAAATGTCTTGAAGAACATGTAGATTGGCTTCAGTAACCTGGAAAATATATTCTTGCAGGGATCTGGGAAAGCACAGGTTCCGAATTCTGTTATGACAATCCTCTTCTCAGTCATCGCCCGTACGTAAGCGTCCGTGCGGATGAACCTGAAGGACATTGAGACACGGGAAGGGGTCACAGACAGAGGCAGTCAGTGCAGTCAGTGCAGAACGTGGAATGGTCATTCTGTGCGCCCTCATCAAGTCAGAACCATAAATTCACAACATGAAGAATAAAGAGTCGTATCAGCTCCCTTTCTCAGGGTGACCAAGGCGGGAAAGACAATGTTCTATGAGCTCTCGTGTGTGCCTTTTAAACATCATAGATGAGGAAATGGAAGTTCAGAGAAGTTAAATGATGGTATATGAGGCTGTGTTGGGTTAGAACCTATGTCAGCCAGAGTTGGACATTAAGTATTTTTCATGTCCCACCATGCAGCCCCAATGGGCATTTACATCGGACCTCTCTCTACAGCCTATAACCTGTCAACATTTATGTGTTCTAGGGAAAGCAGTGTGGTGATTCCTAAAAGAACTAAAAATTGAGCTTCCATACAGTTCAGCAATCCCTCTCCTGGGAATATCCCCAGAGGAACATAAATATCACTACCAAAAAGACATCTGCACACACATGTTCACTGCAGCATTATTGACAATAGCAAAAACATGGAAACAACCCAGATGCCCATCGAAAGTGGACTGGATAAAGGAAATGTGGTGCATATACATAATGGAGTATTACACAGCCATAAAGAAGAACTAAAGCATGACCTTCACAGCCACTTGGATGCAGCTGGAGACCACCATACTAAGTGAACGATCACAGAAACAAAGCACTGAATACTGCATGTTCTCACTCATAAGTGGGCCCCGATCACTGGTCACTTGAGCACCAGGCACTGCTGGGGGAAGGGAGGGGGCAGGGAGGCAGGATGAGGGACACCTGGCAACACCCGGGGTACCTGGTCCACTATCGGGGGAGAGAGGGCCTGCCAGAAGCCCAAACTGCACCTGCATGCAACGTACTCAAGTAGCAAATCCCCACCTGAACCCTACATCTCTAAAGTTAAAATTTTTTTTTTCCATCTGCTTTTGCACTGTCATGAAGAGGAAAAAGCACCCCGGTTTGTAGAAGGCCTGTGAAGGCCTTCTCTGAACCACAAACTGTGCTCTCCTGGCAGCATTTCTGCTCGACATAGTCTTCCTCTTACCAGGCAAGTTATCTGTGGGAGTCTTCCTTTCTCTTTCTTTTGATGCCTTTTCAAAACACCTGGAATCTGTGATCAACAAAGCCACCCAAAGGCCTGAAGAGTCAAGTAGAAGACAATATTTATTGTGATGTCTATGAGGACTCCCTGGAGTGATGGTTTAGGTTCTCAAGCCGTTAAGCAATAACCTCGTTTTTAGAAAACTTCTCTTTCTGATGTCACTGTGACATGTTGGTCCTTTCCTACTTTTTTGGCACCCAGGGTAGCCTTTCTGACAATAAAAAAGTAGTCAAGATAGCTGGTGGTTTAATAAAAATAAAAGAGAGCTAGTATTGTTATTGAGTGCGTCCTATGTGCTAGACACTGTGTTTTCATTTAATCTTTGTAATAAACCTACAAAGTAGATTCTATTATTTTTCCTAATTTGCAGATCATAAAACCTAGAATTACCACAACAACAAAAACTGAATGTTTCATGTCTCCACTCACAAGAGGACCCTAGCACTGGGCATGCGAGCACAACAGACGCTGGGCACTGTTGAAGGATAGAGGGAAGGAAAAGGTTAAGGGGTACACAGCCATGGGCACATGCCCTGGGCACCATGTCCACTACCGAGGGAGAGAGGATTTGCTAGGAGACTACACATCACTGGCATGCAAATCCTCACATGTACCTCACAACTCTAAAATCAAAACAATTCCAACAAAAAACTAAGAATGAGAGGTTGACATCTTGCCAAAGGCGTGTCTGTGGAGTACAGGATTTAAAGCCAGGCATGTTGGATCCCAAAGCCCTAGTGCTTAACTTCTCCTTTATTCCGTGGTTGTACTCCCAGGTGTCCATGCAGAGGCAAGGACCCAGGGAGATTCTGAGAAGGAAGTGTGTACACAGGTCCCCTCCCGGATTCCAGAGATTTAAAAGTACATGGGAGGAAGGGCTGAGCTAGGCCACATTCCTGGGAGGTGGAGCTGGACCAAGTGCTCCTTCACCTTCTGTGGTATGTGACGTGTCCTTCTTTAAAGTCAAACTTGTGCAGGAGGGCTTGCCCGTCAAACAGGTGGTAAAATGGCTCAGATCCAACTTCAAAGAGTCCTGGCCCGCATCGAAGCAGACTGCCGGTGAGCCAGAGGGGGATCCTGCCTGTGATGGAGGGAGACAGAACAATGTTTCTTACCCCCGCCTGTGGGTGGGCTCGTCCCTGAGGAAGCGGACTGTATCAGCAGCTGGATGCGCAACCTCCCCTCCATACCACTGGCCGTGATGTTCTCACCCAGCTCTCACACCGGCCAGCACTTGGAAACGTCTTCGCTAGGAGAGCACATGTTGGGAAATGTGGCCGTGCCCAGAGTCTGGATAAGGCATGGAAGGGCTGAGGGAAACGCATCCCAAGGGGAATGGGATTCTCCATCTGACATACTTCCTCACACACCAATCGATTTCACATTTGTAAATGTGACGTTCAAATTTCTTGATCGATTTTGATAAAGTACGGGGTAGAGGGATGGATTAGGAGCAAGAATGAAGACATTTGAAAAGATGTGTCTGCAGAAACTGCTATTTAAATGGAACAGCAGGAGAACTAGCTTTAAAATCTTGATTATAGTCCTCTGAGGGTGTGAGCTACTGCCCAGACGAACATACACAGGGCTGGGGGGCAGGGACCTGGGTTCTGGTTCAGGATTTGCTACATGCCATCTCGGGGCCTCAGTTTCCGCATCTGCAAAATGACGGGTCCCCAGAGAGTCCTTTGGGAGGCTTGGCTTTCACAGTGTTGTGTTTGTGCCCCATTAGCCTTTGAATTATGTTTGCTCAATCCTTACCAGTGACTTTTTTCTAAGCAGATGGATTATTTTCTATAGCTTATGATGAAGATGACAGTAATAGGAGCTACAGTCCATTGATCACGATTTGTGGCATACTGAGTGAGTCATTTTATTTATATGACCTTACTTAATTTTCCAACAGCTCTAGGAGGTAAATTTCAGTTTTTGGTAGGTAAGGGAATTAAGGCTGAGAAAGTTTAAGCGACTTTTGGAACTTACAGATCATGAAACGATAGAGCTGCGGTTGCCACCTACATCGGCCTGGCTCCAGAAACACTTTTCCAATAGAGTGGGCATGAAACCCTCCGCCCTTTAATGTAATCTTCCCAGGAGCTTGATGCCCTCATTTGTTCAGACACTAAAGGGACAGGCATTTATAGGCCATTTATTATGTGCCAGGCCCCGAGCTGGGCACTGACAGCATGAAGACAACCCCAGTAAAGTAGCAGCATTTGGCCACGTTGGAAAATGAGGCAAAGGTCAATGAGAGGAAATGGGTTCTTGGAATTAAAAAAAAACTGAAGCCACTTGGTTCCCTTCCCCACAGCCCATAGTGGGAGCCCATCCCAAGAGCCACCAAAGAAGAAGAAACCAGAAAAGAGGGTGACTTCAAGAGGGCGAGGCCAACCTGTGATGTGAGCCGGGAGCGGTGAGGACAGCTCCTCCACAGTTTCGAACAGTTTCTTGTAACCACCAGCAGGATGCTCTACTCTGAAACGAAGCGATCACGAGGGAAAAGCCTGTGTTGGTACTCAAGACGTCCCTGGAGACAGAGGCAGATTCCCAAGAGAGAAGGCACTCCGGGTCTGGCTGGAAGCCGGTTCACTACATCCTCATCTCCGTTGGGGAACACATGGACTTGGGGAGGAGGAGACATACTCGGGGTGGAAGGTGGGCCCTACTCAGTGCTCCTTTGACATCAAGAAAAAGAACCTCTCTCAAGATCAGCGGTCACAGTAAACTTCATCTTACCCTCTGCAGGTTTCCCTCATCTCTGAAGACAAACCCATTCATCCTGTTGCTGTCAGTTTCCTTCCAGAACTTTGATCCTAGACAGGTCCTGTCTAGAACTATCCTGTCCCGTCAACACTCAGCTCACCACCTCATTGGCTTTCTTGCCTCACGGAGAGGAAAGGCTCCTTCTTCTCCCTCCTAGGGGTTGGGAGATGGCAGCTTGTGGGGTCAGGTGTCTCATCATCCATTATTCTCCTGTATGAGACCATCATTTTCTCCTGTTACCTAATTTATCCACCAATCCCCCAGAGCCACATACTTTAAAAAATCAGACCAGGGGAATTGGGTTCTATATTTTTGCTTATGTCATACCTTCTTTCTTTGGCTCCATGTTATCGCTTCTTAGAGTGGGATCTCCAGATTATAATAACTACCTCTTATTAAGTACTTACTATGTGCCATCCACCATAAAAGGACTCTGCGTGCTATTATTTCATTTAAATCTCACAGCAACACAATGAGGTAAGTACTATTGTTGTACCCATTCTACATATGGAAAAACCTAGAGTTCAAAGTTAGAGAATCTGCCCAGGATTCACACAGCCAGGAAGTGACTGGGCAAGAAAGGTAACACAAGTCTGTCTGAGGGCCCCACACTCTTGGCTGTTTCCAAGCCCCAGTCTTAAGTCACAGAAACCCCACCATGACTTAGACCCGAATTCTAGATATTTGCTTCAATACATATGGGAACATTCCCCCACCAAAATGCAGGAGCCTTTCCTAAACTGGTCATCGATTCATGCCTTCTCTTCAGGAGCTCTTGAGATAATAACATTTACCATGAACCCACTAAGGTAAATGCCCACCAAGGCATTTCCCAAAATCTCCCAGAGGTACTTACTGGACAGACATTTTCTTCCAGTGCAGGATCGAGTGTTCTGGCACCAACTGCAGGATGAAGAAGCGAGTTTTCAGCCAGGGGCCTTTTTATGCCTTCCAGATCCCCTAAAAGGAGTGTCGGCTCTGGGAGCCCTTCCCTACCCCCTCCAACCCAATGAGGGGAACAGAAGTGGCTTTCAGCACTCAGAGCCTCCTGAGACTGGAGCATTATTTGGGCTTGCCGTTCCCATAACAGTGTTTTGGCGGTTTTCCAGAGACCTCAATCCCCAAGGAGAGGGAGAACAGATTAGAAAGAAAGGAGCCACTGGGAGGGGCCAGCGTTGGGCCTGAGCCGATCCGAGCCACCCCACTGGACACTGGCACCGTCCCCTGTGCCCGCTTCCCTCTCCCACCTCTGAGCCTTAATCCTCACCCTCATTCATTCATGTATTCATTCACTTATTCTAAAACATGTCTTTTACGTATCATCCATCTATGGACCAGAAAGAGACTGGCGCTGTCCCTGGCGCTGTCCACAGAACTTATAGCTCTGCAAGGGTTACAGGAGACTGCCAAATTTGGTGCAATTTGGCTCAGGCTAAGATGGGAGAAAAAGGAAGTGTCATGGAAGCACACTGCAGCACTTCTAACTGCCTCTGGCCACCATGTTGGTACCGTTCGGTGTCCACATTCTTGCAGCCTGGCTGTGGACTTTCGCTATGTCCTTTTGATTCGCTAAGAATGAAACTGTTTTCTTCTCCTTGTTTGTCACCAGTGCCTGCCTGCTCCTCACCTCGCCTTCGTGTCTATTGGTACGTGTTCTGCACTCCGCGAGCATATAGCTCCAATTCACTCATCCTTCCACATTCTTTTATTAAGCTCCAGCTGTTTGCCAGCACAGAGATGGTACTGCCCAAAGGAGTACTTGCAAAAGAGACAAGATATCTGCTATACCAGCTAACGACTTCAACATTTTTTGAGAAACTCGTTGACAATTTTAAGCTTAACAAGTGGTTATGGCTCCTTACCCTTGGCACTCTTCTTCAGTGGAACTCTGTAACAAGTCATCTGAGCCCTCCCCAAGACAGTCAGCAGGAGCTTACTTTCCTTGACTGGGCTCCACACATGAAGGACAGAGGTAGAAGTCCCAGTGGTCACAGCCGGTGCCCAGGGTCAGGGGTGTCTCTGCTCCTCCAAGGCAGTTGTAGTGTCTCCACTGGAGCCATTTTACAGTAGGCATTGCTACTGACTGACTGGGTAGCCTCCACGATCCCGCCTCTAGCCAGCCCAGTGATTCTGTTAGGTCCCTAATGTTAAAATGTTTGTGTTTTGCTGTATTAGCTGGAGGTGGTCTCCTTGTTTTCAGCTAAGAGTCCAATCTACAACATGATGGTAGTACAGGATGCCATGGTACCATGCGGGAAGAATATCTCTATTGGTGTTAGGGAGGCCCAGAAGAAAGAAGAAGTAGCTGAGCCAAGATAGGAAGAAAGTATAAAACTCAACCAGCCAGAGGTCAGGTGCAAGAAGGTGTAGACACGGCTTGTAGAACATACAAAAGTCTGGAGGTGAGCACCACGTGGGGAAACAGCAAGAGACGAAACTGGCCTAGAGATAATCAGGGGTCAGATAATCAGAGCCACGTAAAGAAATCTAGACCCAACGGGGCTCGGTGGCTCAGACTACCATCCCAGCACTTTGGGAGGCTCTGGCCAGTGAATTGCCTGAGCCCACGGGTTCGAGACCAGCCCGGACAACTTGGCGAGACCGCATCTCTACAATAAAAAAGCAAAAATTAGCCAGACGTGGTAGCGCACGCCTGTAGTTCCAGCTACTTGGAAGGCTGAGGCGGAAGGATCGCCGGAGCCCACAGGTCGAGGTTGGGTTGGCCTTGAGCGAGCCATTGCACTCCAGCCTGGGTGATGGAGTGAGACTTCAGCTCAAATAAATAAATTAATTAAATTAAATGAAAAGAAATCCAGACCCATGTCGTGAGAGGAGGGGAATCACTGAAATGTCTTATTCAAAAGAGTGACATGATCTGAGTGCATTTTACTGAGACCACTGTGGTTATGTTGCGGGAAATGATGCTGGATGGACAGCCTGCGCGGGATAAATTAGAGGGAGACACAGATGCAAAAGAGAAGGTACTGATAGGGGGGAAACGCTGGGGATGGGGACGGGTGGGCAGACTCAGGAGCCGTTTCAGAGGAGACCCAATTAGACTCAGACTGACGAGTGTGCCGGGGACCTAAAAGGCCGTTGAAAGGACGGCCCTTGGGCCTCCGGGACGATTCATGGAGCTAGTGCACACCATGACTGCATGTGTGCGTGATATTTCAGGAACCCAGAGACGATGAATTCTGATGGGGGCGTTCATTAAGGAAGAAGATCCCTGGGAGTTTCAACCATCTGAAAGGCTCATAGGGAGGTGAGAGAGTTGGAATTGGGAGGCTCGGCTGGGTGTGGGCACAGGAGGAAGACGGAGATGGCCTTTCTGGGGAAGGATGCAGAGTGCAAGAAGGCAGGGGACTGAGTGTGCGCGGTGAGCTGTCTGCCTCCCACCCCATTTTTGCTGGGCTTCATTTTCTCAGGAGAGCCTCTCCTCCTTGCAAAGAGTCCCAGGCCGTGTTGCCACACCAGCACGCTGGTGGTTCACAGGAGAGAAGTTCCGGGAGGATCAGGACACGCAGCCTTTCTTCAGCTTCACCTCCCCACCTGCATGACAAGAGGCCAAGGGATGGAGCTCTGGGAGCCAGGAAGCCCACGCTAGCTGAGTGACAGAGCGCTAACAAACTGTACTTCTGTTAAGCTCATTTCCTAGGAGATGAGAATTCAATCCTACCGGAGCCCAGGATGGCACCCACTGCCATTCTTGGGTGCCTCTGTGCGGCTTCTGGCGCTCTGGGGCTGCAGCCACGTTGTTTAAAAATGGCAACTGGTTTTAGTGATTTGGGGACTGTTTTGCCCCTTTGGTACCCTTTATGTTTCAATCAGCATAGATCCTAGAAGTCAACTCCTTGAGGGATGTTTCTTTTAGAAGTACACATCCTGACAATTCATTCTTGGAAGACTTACAGATTCATAAACCATGTGAGTCATCAAGTTAATATGCTTGGATAGATTCAGGATGAAAACTAATTTCTGTGCATTAAATCTCATCATACCCCGATTTCCTCAGGTATAAGGCAGGGGAAATATGCACAAGCATTTTGTGAGCCAAAAATACTCCATATAAACATTAAGTAATGCCTATCAATGTCTCAGGAAGTGTGATTTTATATCTATCCTTCCAGCTAATACCTTCCGCCTTAGGGGTAACCCATTTTCCCCATCCTACCATTGGCGTGAAGTTAGAGATCAGCTGTCCGTACCCTTTTCAAGGCATCAATTTGACCTCTTTGCTTCGGCATCCCCAGGTGTAGAACTCTTTTCCAGGTCTAGCTTTACTCTTCTGTAGTCCAGTGGGATACATTGGATCTCCACTGACATTTGAAGAATGATTTCTAAATGTCTAGAGTGGAAGCAAGCAAGCCAGTAGTTCATTTCAGGTGAAGTTATGATGGGTCTTAGGCTAGAGTGAAACAATGCAGAGGGAAACATAGTAGGTGGATATGAGATCTGTTTTGTAGGGAGAAATGACAGGACACATGTGACAGATTGATATGTCTGGCATATGAGAAAATGGGGCAAAGGGCATATCATGCATCCATTGCTGATATTGCAGCATAAAAATTAGGGCCCAAACATCAGTGTCATACAACAGTACGTGTCTGGATGGTTGGCTAGGAAGATCTGCCATTGATCGAACTTGTGCTCTCACACAGCTGGAGTTTGGCCGGCTGTCTGGGTCTCAGCTGAAATAAGCAGGGCTATGTGGCATGGCTACACATCTTCTATCTGGCAGGCTAGCATGGGCATATTCTCCACACAATAGCAGAGATGAAAGAGCAAGAGGAAACAGGAAGAGCCGCTGAAGGCCTAGGCTCAGAACTGAGCCACTGTTACTTCCACCACCTGCTATTAGTCAAAATGTGTCATGAGGCCAGCCAGACCTCAAGGCGTGTAGAAGTACCTTCTGCCTCAGTTAACAATCTTTAGTGTCACACGTCAAAGGCCATGGCTACAGGGAAGGATGTAGAATTGGGGCCATTTTTGCAGCCTAGTACATGAGAGGATCCCTGTGTTTTGTCTTGAGCAACTGAATGAATGCCATATTATACTCTAGGACTGGGGGAGAAATGGTTGAGTAGAAATGGGACTATGGAGAATTCCGGCCTAAAAGTGAGACGCTGCAAGGCTGTGAGACATTCGTCTTCTCCAAGACATGGCTTGTCCACCCTGCTCCTTCCTTCCTGCAGCAGCCCTGATCGCCCCCTGCCTTGGAGGTATTTACTCAATGGAGGTAAAATTTAACCCAAAGCAGTGTGAGCCTGCATTCTTATAAGTATCACTTCCACTCATGTATAGAAGTTTTGGTAAATATTACTGTCTTGATTTCATCATGGCCAATGATACCTTAGTGTTTCTCATCAATAGGTGCTCCTGAAAGCTTCTCAGCTGACCTCTCCCACCACAGCCAGCACTTAGTCTGCCCTGAAATCATGAAAAAAGGTCATAAGAAAGGGGGATATATATAGATGGCCTTGGCCATGTGTGCTCTTTCTTTCTCTTTTCATCTTGTGGACATGAGAGTGTCCTTTTGCTGGCTGGTTCTGTCCCTCATTTTGAGACTCTCCCTTGCTTTCCACAGAGCTGTGTGAGTCCTAAACATTGAAGTTCCTTGTGGTCTCTGGTTTGGGTGTGATATGTTTTGACATCTGATATCTTAAAAGGTGGAGTCTGGTAACAGGCTTCCTGAAACACGTATCACTGTGTTCAGGGCATCAGTACCAGAACTCAAGACTTGCTGTTTTTGAACCACATGAGTAGATGCCACTAGAAAAACTGCTCGAATGAACTGAACAGGCAAGAGTAAAAATTTGGTTTGTGAGTGAGTGCTTAAGGATTTGTTTGGTTTTCTTAAAAGAATTTAGAATATTTTACTTAAAATCTTGATTGTGCTCTGATTTTAACTAATCGGCTCTTGCACCACACACCAAAAAAAGCACAAAAGAGGATTCTGGGTCAGTCCTACTGGATTAGCTATGGCTCAGCCGTTGAAGGCCCATGGTACACTTGCACATTCTGGGTCACGCCACCTGTGCAAATGCAAAGAAGAATGGGCAGCTGAAATATTTTAGGCAGAGAACTGGTTTATTAGATACAGGAACCTCAAGTGT